ACCGCCCCACTCCTCTAAGGCAAAACAAACCCTGCCTGGCTGGGACAGCACGCGACCATGTTTGCTCCCTTCTTGCCAGGCTGGCCTGAAACAAGCCAGCAAACCTGCCTCTCAAGTTTTTGGGATGTTTCCCGGTGTTTTGGAGGCTCAGGAGGCGATAGGGAGCCTCATGTTTGGACTGGAAGCTTTTCTTTCCGGCTGGGGCAGGAGCAGCGCAGGTAACCGTGTGCTGGCGGCGGTGGCAGGCAAGGTGCTGGCTGCGGCACGGTGAGGCCGTGGCCGCAGGCACTTTTATTTTTAAACCTTATCTTTATTGCAGTTTTCTCCTGCCCTGTTGGGAAAGGCAAAATGCACCTTATCTGGCCGGCTGCTGGCAGCACGACCTGTTCCTGGGAGGGGAGAGGAGGACGGGCTGTGCCAGCAGCGCCTTCGGCATCCCCTGCCACCCCGGGGATGGTGCCGGGGGCGATGCTGGGGGTGATGTTGGGGTGATGCTGAGCCAGCCCGGCACGCACCCACGATGGGTGCTGGGTTTTGTGTGGGAAAGGGAGGGGTCCCCTGCAGTCCCTTCCTGCCCGCTGAGCACCTCCGGGGTGTGTTATCGCTTTGACCTCTGGCCGGGGGCTTTATTATGGGTTTCTGACGCAGCAATAAAGTAAAGCTGAGCTGGGGACCTGCCCGCGGACGCCGAGCCGAGGACGGCTTCGCTGGCACCCTGAGCTGGCAGCACCCCAATCCCAGCCTGGGGGTGCAGGAGCGAAGGCGGGGGGGGGGGCAGGCTGATCCCTGTGCCCACCCCAGGGCCGGCAGGAAGGGTGCTGGGTGGGATCCTGGGGTCTCATGGGGGCCTGTGGAGCGAGTGGCAGTGCCCGGGGCCGCCATTGTGTCCATCCTGGGGTAGCTCCAGGCGGTGGATCGGGGTCTTTCTCGGGGATATCCGAAGGGGTTCCCCCCGAGGGTGCCTGGCAGGAGGGGGCAGGGGCCGTGGGGCTTCCCCTGTTAATGGTTAATGTGCCGGCAGCGGCGGCGGTGCGGGCTCCCTCCGAGCTATCAGCCCTGCCATCGGCCCCGGGAACAGGCTGTACCTTGCCGCCGCTGTTTGTTTGCACCCCAGCCACCGGCCTCGCCGCTGCCCCGCGACACCCAGCTCCCACCCGAGCTGTCCCCCGGGGCCACCCCCACGGTGGCTTTGCGGGTGGCAGCGTCACCTGCGCTGCCCCTGCACACGCTGAGAGGGAGGAGATGAGGCTGGGGCCGGGCATGGCAGCACCCGGTGCTCTCCAGCGCAGGGCAGCCCAAGCAGATGCTCCCTTGAAGGATGCGGGGTGGCAGGAGCAGACAGGGATCCCTCTTATTTTTCTTCCCCCCAATCCCCCCCTTTTCAACGTCCTCGGCACCCCAGCTAATTGAGGAGGTGCTGTGCCTCTTGGCCACCGTTTCTGGGAGGCAAAAAGCAGTTGGGGAAAGGCAGCGTTTCCCACCGAGCCTTGTGCCAGCTCCAAATGGTGCCCGACGGAGCTTTTGGAGGCTATTTCGGGGGTTGACGGCTCCCACCCCGCATCGCTGCAGGGCTCTGGGCTGGCCCGGTGCCTCAGCGTGCCTGTGGTTTTTACCTGCATCTCGTATCAGAGACGCACTCTGGGTGATGGGGTTGCAGATAAGGGAGTGTTTTCTTCCTCCTGCGCGTGTGATAGAGAGAAAACAGCAGTTCCGTGACCTGCAAATGCCCTAGAGCAAGGTCACATCCCCAGCGGGTCGGGAGCCGGAGCAGGGTGACAAGCCAGGGTGGTCCCAAAGTGGAGGACTGATACCGGGGGGGCAGGTTTGGTCCCTGGGGATGGAGAGGCAGCGCTCGGGGGGGGTGGGGGGTGGGAGGGGGTGTCCCTGGGGGGCTGGGGACAGCCAGCCAGCGGCTGTCCCCAGCCACTGCAGAGCTCCTCTTGGCTCTTGCAGGCTGCGACTCGGGCTTCGGGCAGGCGACGGCCCGGCACTTGGACGCCATGGGCTTTCGGGTGTTCGCCAGCGTGCTGGACCCGCAGGGTGCTGGCGCCCAGGAGCTGCGCAGGAGCTGCTCGCCGAGGCTGACGCTGCTGCAGATGGACCTGACCAAACCGGAGGACATCCACCGTGTCCTGCAGCACGTCCAGGCCCACACCAACAGCACAGGTAGGAGCCCTTGGTAACCCCCCCCCCCCAGCCCCCCCGCGGGAGCTCCCCGGGACCTCAGCTTGCAGCCGGCGTGGCAGTGCCAAGCCTCCGTGTAGCAGCAGGGGCTGCATCCCTGCGGGCACCAGTTCTGACAACCTCTGCTAATGGGGCTTGTCCCAGGGCACCCCGCACGACCCCCGTAAGCCGGGGAGCAGCTGGGATCCCCAGAATAGGGGGAAGGGGATCCCCCCCCTCATTCCGGTCACCTCTTTGAGCATCCCATCCCCGCAGGGCTCTGGGGCCTGGTGAACAACGCCGGCTTCAACGACACCATCGCTGACGCCGAGCTCTCGCCGCTGGGCAAGTTTCGCACCTGCATGGAGGTGAACTTCTTCGGCTCGCTGGAGCTCACCAAGGGGCTGCTGCCCCTGCTCCGCTCCGCCGGCGGCCGCATCGTCACCGTGAGCAGCCCCGCGGGTGAGCAGCCTGCCAACACCCCCCCAGCCCCTCAGCACCCCGAGATTGGGTGCGGGCCGAGCAGCACCACGATACGGTGTGACTCCCACTCCCTCCCAGGACCTCCGCTTCCCCACCAGCCACATCAGGCTGGCCCCCTCCGCCCTTCCCTGGCGCAGCGGCCAGGAGTGCAGCCCTACACCAGCCCTCCAGCCGCGCAGGCAGCTGCCTCAAAGCCCACTCACTCCTCTTTTCCCTCTTGCAAGGTGACCTGCCCTTCCCTTGCCTGGCAGCCTACGGGGCCTCGAAGGCAGCCCTCAGCCTGCTCATGGACACCTTCCGCAGTGAGCTCCAGCCCTGGGGCGTCAAAGTCAGCCTCATCCTGCCTGGCTACTACAAAACAGGTAAGAGGGTCGGTGCCCTGCTTGCTGCCTGCACCCGCAGGCGAAGGGCAGGTGCCCCGGGGGAGGGCAGATGATGAAGCAGAGTGGTTGGTGGTGGAGGATGCAGCTTCTGCGAACCTCCCTGGGGACGGGGGGGCTCCGGTTGGTGAGAGGCAGGGGCAGGGTCAAGCCCTGCCAGCAGCTCCTCTGCCACCAGGGCTCGACGAACCCGCTCAGCCGCGTTTATGGCAGTGCTGTCCCCGCTGCAGGCAGGGTCCGAGCCCTCCCGTCCTGTCCCAGGCTACCGAGAGCCACCACGGTGCTCCCGCCGCGCTTCCCCCATGGCAGAGCTCTGCCAGGGTTTCAGCAGGACCTTCCCAGGAGGCTGGGAATGAATTGGTGGGGGGGGGAAGCTTCTGGCACCCACACCGGGGGGGGGGGGGGGGGGGGGGGCTGGAGGAGGGAGGCCACGCAGCTCACGGCGGGGTCGCTTTCTTGCAGGGACGACGTGCGACCCCGCTTTCTGGAACCTGCAGAAGCAGCGGCTGGTGGCCAGCCTGCCCCAGGAGCTGCTGCAGGCCTACGGCGAGGACTACGTGGAGGAGATCAACCGCCAGTTCATCCAGTTCATGAAGGTGGCGGTGGAGGACCTCAGCGCGGTGGTGAACAGCATCACGGACGGGCTCCTGGCTGCCAACCCAGCCGTGCGCTACTACCCGGGGCAGGGCCTTGGGCTCATGTATTTCATACACCGCTACCTGCCCTATTTTGTCCGAGACTTGTTCTTGAAAGGATTCTTCATCAACCCCAAGCTGCCCCGAGCGCTGCGGCGAGAGCACCACAGCGACGCGAAGGCGGCCTGACCTCGGCCCGCATGCGGTCGCGGGGCAGGAGCGAGCCTTCTCCCGGGATTTCCAGGCACACCAGCCCCCCGAGCGCGTGCGCAGCCGCCGGCACCGCCCTCCTGCACCGCCGTGGCGGGGGAACGATCAGCACTAGACGTTAAAAACCAAATTGTTTTCCAAAAATCAGGCAGATCTATTTTCTATGGGGCGAGAATCAACGTTTTCTAGAGACCTTGGTTTTGTATTTTTTTTTTTTTTTTTTCTAACCGTGCATCCTCCAAGGGGGCCACCCCCCGCCTGCCTCAGCGGCTCTGCACCACGGGCTGGGATGTACCTCAGGCGTTTCTCAGCTCCCCGACATCTTCCCCACTGCTGTCGGAGCTGCCGTTGCCTCCATCACCTCTTGGCTGGGTCAGGCCTGGGACCCTGCAGCCGCTGCCGTGCCAGCCCCTGCCTCCCCGCCCGTCCACGACACACTCCACGCGCTCCCGGCGAGCGCAGGGGCTGAGGCCAGGCTGACCAGTGCCGCAGGGCTCTTCACGAGATGAACTACGTGATTGTCACTTTTTAAATAAATCTGTTCTTGATATGCCCCCGGGCTCTGGCGGTCTCCTTCCGCAGCGCAGTGCTGCGATGCTCGGGCAGAGCTGTGCTGGGTCACGGCCCCGTGGCAGGAGCCAAGGCTTGCGTGGGGCAGCAGGTACCCAGAAAAGGGGTCAGCCTGCCAGAAAGAGCTTGCACCCGCTCCCTGCTGCTCCCCACCCTGACCCCAAAAGCTTCCTTTTGCTTTGCTCCAGGTGTGTGTGGCCCTGCTGGGGTGAGGAGAGAAGGGGTGACGGTGCCACACACACACAGACAGCCCCAGGCAAGGAAGCCCAGGGGCGGGGGGACAAGCCATGCAGCTCCCTAATTGCCTGGGTGCCTCCTGGGCACCCCTCAGCTCAGCACCTCACTGCACCCACAGACCAGGCTTGGGCTGGATGGAGCACCCAGGGCCCCCGAGGGGTGGCACGACCGCTCTGCTTGTGGTCGAAACAAGTGTCCCAAGAGCTGCAGGAGCCACACCAGGCTCCACTACAACTATCAGATTCCCTGGCTGAGAGGCCCTGGGGCTGACAGAGGCTCCTCCTGGGGATGTGGGAGCAGGGAGTAAGCAGGGAGAGCACAGTGCAGTAGGCAGATATTTATTGGTGGAGAGAGGAAGGGATCACGGGGTAACAAACACTGCAGAGGTGACCGTAGCACAAGCTGGGACAGAGCCACTCTCCATCCATCCCTCCCAGCAGCAGCACCGAGCACCTGTTTCCCACCAGTGCGGCTTCTCTGCTGCCACGGGGCATTTCTCAGACCTCACGGGCAAGTGGGAGCAAGCTGGGATATACAAGAGCAGCCACGCCATGCCCAGGGCATGGCTCCCACTCCCTAACCACAGCCGGGCAGGACGTGGGACATCTCTGGCACCAGCTGCACTCCTCAGGGTGACCCAAGGGTGCTCTGCCCGTATAGCTCTGCAGCACGGGACACCCTGTGCAGGGGAGGAGGCTGCACCAGCCTGGATGCCTGCCCTGGGGCGGTGGCAGGGGTGCAGCACCAGCCCCAGAGCCAAAAGGAGCCCCGACTCTTGCACGATTGTGCCAGTAAACTCCAAACCACGGGTCTTCAGGGGAGGAAGGAGCTCAGGCAGCTTGGGGAACTCTTTCAAGGTGTAGGGCTGGAGGGAGGCGGATGCTTCTGAGCGCACAGCGAGGCTGCGCCAGTGCAGACGCCACCCGAGTGGGGAGGAACATCCTCCACAGCCGCTCTGGCTCTGCCCTCGTGTTCCCCACAGGCTCCGTCCCAGTCCTGGCCAGGGCTGCTCGGTCTCTCCCAGGTCAGGGTTAGTTACAGGGGGGGATGCAGGCATTGCACAGTAGCATGGGCTACGCTACAAATCACACTCAAACTAAATCTCACAGGGACAACACTGACTAGGAGGCGTGCAGAGCACCGACAGAGAGGACCCCCAGCCCCGATGTGTTCCTCTGCAGCTGTGGGAACCCCTTGGAGGCAGCAGCCCCCCCCAGCTGGTGCCTGCTCCACAAGCGTAAGGGCATACAGCAGATAAGTACAGTAACACGGGGACTATTAGATGCACAACAGGAGGAGTGCCTCCTGCTACACAGGGCCGAGCCTGTGCCACTGGTCCCTCTGGACCCCTCACAGCACACACAACTTCAGCTTGTGAATAATTTAACTAGCAACTGTACAGTTTCCTCATCTGAGCCAGTTCCACAGACGGGACATCCCTGGTGTCTGGGCAAGGGAGAACTCAGGGAGTTACACAGGGGTCCCTCCGGACTCCAGGGGCAGGAGGGTCAGACAGGAGCAGAGTGGGGTTAGAAGATGGGAATGTAGTTGTCAATCTTGGTCCTGTGCCGCTGGGCAATGCACTCTGCGATCCACACAATGTTGCGGCACTCCTGCTCCTTCAGCTTCACAAAGGCGTAGAAGACTCCAAAGTGGAACTGGTTGAGGAAGGCCAGTTTGTTCAGCTTCACCTGGGGAAAGCCCGGAGGAGGACATGTCACTTGTCCACCTCAGATGGGAGGGAGCTGGTCAAGGCAAGTGTGGAGCAGCCCCATGACTTCCCCAGCAGGCTGGAAGGCTCAGCACAGGTATCCTGCTCTCCACCTCTTTAGGTCCTCGGGACAGCTCTAACCTACAGCACGTGGCTCAGGACAGGCTCTCACATTTGAAGGGAGAAATATTTATGCCTTCAGGTACTGTGAAAACGCTCCTTTCCCACGTAATTACACTCTGGTTTTACTACCAGTGGATCAAATAACCACCGGCAGCCCCAGACTTGCCTCCCACACTGCTGTAATCTGCCTGGTGAGAACACGGACCGAGCACCACGCTGGGCCCCCCGTTCCCTTGCTGGAGCAGAGGGCTAGCATCCTTTTCCTTCCTGCAAACCCTATTCACCCAAGACGAGCTTGCTGCCACCCTGAGCTTTGCAAACAGCACAGGCAGGCACATGCCAAGAAGTATCATGGGGATCGCTCACCTCATGCTCAAAGAACCTGTCTTCAAGGGTCTTGTCTCCAGGGTTGCTGCCAGCCCCTTCAAATAGCAGCTTGTACTCCTGCAGGAAAACATTACAAGAGGATAAGCCCAAAGCCCTCTGAGCTCAGCAGCGTTTGGGGCCCTGTGCATCAAACAGGCACCCCTGCTACCACGCCAGGTCAGCAGAGGACACAGAAAAGCCGAGAGTCTGCACTGTGTGCACACGAACATTGGCAACGGGATGCTGCTGAGGCTTCACTGCACACACGCTGGCTGAAGGCAACCCCCAGAAAGGCAAAGAAAGTCTTGACGTCATCTGGAAGTCTGTCCAGCCAGAGATCCTACCCATGCAGTTCTCAAAGCCATATTGTTGCTTTGTGCTTGCAGGGAGGATGGACCAGGTACAGACCCCTCCGGGTAGAGGCTGGAGTATTTGGACCAGGTCCCTGGGCCCACAAACACTGGCACACGCTCTGGCTGCTTCAGTATGGGGACACTGAGCTCTCAGACTCCCAACGGGTCCCCAGCCATGCACCAGGGCAGTTTAAGGAACCCAGACACATCCAAACGTGTCCTCCCGGGTCAGTGTCTCCCCCGCTCAGAGTGGGCTGGAGATGGGGCACACCATTTCCTGCTGGACACGTTTCCAATCCTAACCAGCTGAAGAGAGACCGTCATTGCTGCCGCACCGATGCCTCAAGGGTCTGGTGGTGAGGGCAGTCCCCACACCCCGGGATGGGTGCACAGGGCATGCCTGGTCTCCTTATCACCTCTGCAATTGGCCTGGACTTCCAAGCCAAAGGCAGCCCAGGTGAATCAACTCCCTCTTGGCCAAGCAGAGCACAGGACCAACAGTAGCTGCAGAAGACAGGCACCCCTCTCCCCAGGCTGTCCATCCACAACTTCCCCCAGATCCCCGAGAAGCTCTGATTCAGAGCAGGTCCCTGCACCAGTCACTACAGCCCTCACCCCAAAGCACTCACAGGGTAGTAGTCAGCAACATTTTTGACTTGTTCGTAGTCATCTGCTCTGGCTAGTTGAGCCAGGCCCTCAGGGTAGAGCTTGCCACAGTGCGGGAACAGCTTTGCTCGGTCCTCCTTGGACAGCTCAGTACCAAAGGAGTTGATGGTGATAATGAAGGCCCTCCGGTCGGCTTCAAACTGTGGGAATAGAGCAGGTCACCTTGGGATGCAGCATCTTTGCCAGAAGCCAGCAGGTATCGATGCTCCCCTGATCAGAGGGCAGCATCAGCAGGCTGCCTGGGACGCACACAGCTAGCTGCTGCTCAGCCAGGGTAGGCTACGTGTGCAGGCTCCCAGTATGCCCGGTAGCTGAACGCCTGGGGGGCGGTCAGGTGAGGAAACCCCCATCCCAGGCACAAGCCAAACCGCCGAGCAGAACCCTGCCCAGGTCAAGGAGCCTCTCTCACTTACTGCCCCTGAGCCCTGCACATCCCACAGCTAGCCTTGGCACGGAGACAGGCCGTGCACCCAACAGCTCTGGTTTTCTCCTGCTCGTTATCCATGTGAGAGGACGTTGCCATGAAGGCAACAGATGTGTTGGCGCCTGGCAAGGTCAGGACTGGGGAACCAAACCTGCCCAAAGTCGTGTGCAGGCAGTGTTTTCCTAGGTGTCCCAGTGAGCAGGCAGAGTGTGCACAGGGATGCTGAAGAATATCTTGAGCATCCTTAATGCTGGCAGGCAAGCTGGGCCTGAGCACAGAGCAGTGAATATCACTGCAATACCGTCTAGCTACGGGGCTTTCCAGACCTACCTCCAGGATGGGGCACATGGCATCTGCTGTGGTACCTCCCAGCACCTTGCAGAACTTGTAGAAGGACTCCAGGTAAGCCTGGAAGAAAGAGGGAAGAGGAGCACTCTTCTGCACAGCTTCGTTTACTGCCCCACAGGGCCATTCAGCAGAGGACAGGCAGCAAGCAGGGATGCTTCGTAACATGGCACAGGCACTCTCACCCCATGTGAACTTGGATGCCAAGCCCACACAAGGGACAGTGCTTCCCCGGGAGCTGGAGACATGAAGGGTTGTGGTTGGGTTTGTTCAAGTGACTGCACAATCTTACTGCAGGCAAGATCCCCAGGCAGCAAGGTTAAAGCCTGTTTTGCTCCTTTTGAGTCATTTAACTCCAAAGCATTTACTGAAGTCTTACGTGGTTTCCTGACCCCGCTCTGGCCTCCACAAACATGCCAAGCCACACAACTATAGCTGCAAGACCTACGCTCAGAAAGTACCGCTGTGTAAGCAGAGTCAAGAGATGAGACAGGACATCTGTGAAGGAAACTAGACAGTCTCTGTAATTCTCTTTTCACACTGTGGCCGCTTGGTCTCTACCCCAACTGGAGCACTGCAGAAAACATATAAGGCTGGGCACAGCTACGCTGCCTCCAGGAAACGTAATCCTTTGTGGAGATGTACCGTAATCCAGCTGGAAGATGACTGTATCTCCCAGGGGGAGCCTAGGAAGGCTGTGCATGGCTAAAACTGCTGTTCAGCAAAAACTTTCTCAGAAGAAGTCATCATGTGATAAAATACCTCCCTGGACAGAGAGCTGCAACCAGAATCACTTAAAAGGGATGGAGTGAAATGATGCTGAGACATCACAAATCTCTGCTTTGTCACAACAACTCCAGGACAGAAGATGGACCAAGAATGCACGTGTTGGACGCCCTCAGCCTCCTCCCTAGGAAGGCACCTGGATTACTATGTTCTGTAAATATTTGTTACCACACAGTGCAAGAGAACACTGCTGGGACTGGGTGAGCATCACACATCAAAGAAAAGTCGTCTCCAGCACCGGCTACTACTCGAGTGCAGGAGAGCACCGAGCATCAGCCTGCAGAGTTACCCCAGGAACAAGGACCCTGATAACGGGCTTTGCTTGAGGCTGACAGAAGAGGGAACCTGGGTAACAGGTTCAGTCACTACCTCTGCCCTCCTCAGAGTTCACACACAAACCGAAGGCTTTAGAAGCAAAACCAGGTGAACTCAAATATCCAGCACTGAATGAGGATCCAGCATCACAGACACCACAGAGATACAGACTGTAAAACAGCCACACCGGGCACACCCTCCCCTACGGACCCCTCCACAGAAGACAGCAATTTAGAGAAACTCTCCGGTGTCCTGAAACCCTTATCCCAGAAATGGTGGTGCCTTCAGATTTGATAATCCTTAATGGACTTTTTATTTTCATGAACCCACACGTTTACCCTCTGCCTCCTGCTAGCCTCATCTGTCTGTCACATCCAGCCTAAAGGGAGACCTGTGGCCTGTCTATCCACATTGACTTTTCCAACACCTAACTGTGGTTATCACCACAGCTTGTATTCACTCCTCTTCCAGGTGAGGAACCCTAAACTTTTCTGTAGTTTCCCACACAGAAGTCATTGCACCCAAACCTTTAAACGTGTCCTCCTTAGCAGCTTCTCCTGTTCTGCTGTTCGTATTTGGAGATGAGAGAGGAGAGGAATGAGACAGCGATCAGGACAAACACACTGTAGATGCACGCAGCAGCACAGTGACATTCGTGCAGTTCTACTGTTAGGAACAGATTACCTTGTAGAGACACACTTGCTTAGGTCAGTTGTTCATTTAGTAGCAGAAAGGAACAAGGAGACCCTCGCTGTACAAGCAGAGTCAGGATTACCTCCTTGCCTCTCCCATAAATCACTCCACATTTATCCACATTGATCTGCCTGCTATATTTTATTGTCCAGTCACAAAGCTCCATCAGCTGGTTTCAAGAAGGTCACCAGCAAAAGCCAACAGTCAGCCAGCTTTACTTCAACATACCCATTAAAGGTGTGGGACAAAGGGAGAAAGCGCTCAAGATGATAATGCCAGCACATCTCTCTTGCAGGATTCCACTCCTAACCGCCCTCCACACTAAGAGCTGACCACTTACTTTTAACCTCTGCTCCTCATCTTAATGGTATTTCCATTCAAGAACCTTCTCACTTGTCACTGCTAACAAGAAACCTTTGTAATTGCTTTCCTCCTATGAATCCTGCTCAAGCCTTCTGCCTACATGCTCACTGATTCCTTCAAAAAACCTCCAGCAGGTCTGGGAGGCAGCACATCCCCTTCCCCTGCCGACTCCCCTGGGATGTAGGAATCCATCCCAGGCACCCGCCAGAGCAACCTTGTGCAGATTTCAGACCTGATTTTATTTCCCTCATTTGCCTCTGAAGACCATTTGCATTCCATTATACATTTTCCAGTCCTGGGGAGAGAGGTGGCTTCAAGTGAGAGTCTGTACATAGTAGTTACCTTTTCCACCTTTGCATCCCCGTGATTTGTTACTCATGGAGCCTCTATCCTCCCCAGGGGCTGCTCTTTAGCAAGAGCCAGTCCCAGCACACGTCAAGGGATACCAGGCACATACACTTCAATTTGGGGGTAGGGTAGGAAGAGCAGAATGCAAAGCAGTATCAGGCCCCAAAAAGGAGACTGGAAAGGACGCAGAAGCTGGGACCCAAGGAGATGCTCCCCTCTCCCCCAACCTGTCTGCCCTGCGCTCACTCTGCTCCCTGCCTTCCTCCACCCACCTTGTCTCAACAAGGAGGTCTGTACCCTGCAAGGTGCAGGTATTTATGCATACAGGCATACCTGCCCCTGTTACAGCAAAAGACCAGTACACGCCAGAGGCCATGCGCAGCTGGGCATGACTGCCGACACGCAGATCCTTCTCCCCTCTCCTTGCCTTCTTCCCTTCACGCCTGAGCTGTTCTCTGCCTCTCCAAACAGGCCACAGCTTCCTTGGGAAGCAGAGGTCACACTGACTGCAGGCTGGCTGTGACCAGCCAAAACAAGGTTGGCAGATATAATCTGCATCCCACCCTTAATCCAGAGAGTCGAGATGGAGCGATAGCCACAGCCTGCACATAAACACATGGCCTGATACTGCCAGCTAGAACCAGACAGGGCTTGCAGAGGAGACCACAGCTCCCCTTGCAGGCTCAGGACAAGGAGATCTTTAGCCCCTCCACAGCCCTGTGCTAATACTGTCCCCAGCCTGCAGGACTCCTCCTCCCCAGCTGCACCTTTTACACCGCTCCACCAAGAGCATCTAAGCCCAACGACAGCCGCTGAAGGCTTGAGCACATTGTTGGAGGCTCTAATGAAAAAGCTCAAGATGGAGAGCCAAGCCCATGGAAGTCCTTCAACCAAGTTTAAGATCTAGCCACTTTAGTCCTTTGAATGCAGTTAACTACACGTCTAAACTCGTGTGGCTAAGGAGCAGCCTTCTGCTGCCTGCCTGGGGCTGGGGAAATTTATTCAAAGGCATAACCTCTGCAAAATCTCTTGCACAGACTCTTGACAACCTGACAGCTCCAAAAAAACCCCACTCTGCCTAGCTCTGGTGCCTTGACTCGGCAGGGCTGGGTGATTGGATGTCAGGCCCCTCCAAGAGCACTATCTTTACTTTCCAATGGATGCGACTAGTTCTTGATGCTGTTTACTATATCACCACTCCAGGAAGAAAAAGAGAGAGAAAGCAAAATTATTTTTAAGTCTATTCCAAGAAGAAAATACCTTCTCATCTTTGGTTGAAGAAAGCCAGCCTAGGCTGGAGCTCCCGACCCAAGACAGAGCTGTAGTCACACTAGGAATAAGCAGGGAAGTTAACATCTCTTTCCCTTCCCAGAGATTCATTTACCTTATACAGCGTGTTTCGAATTATTTCAATATTCATTTCATCCAGGTCCTGTTCAGATATGCAGTCTTGGAAGAAAGCAGCTGAAACAGAGCCACAGACAGAGTTAGCATTGCCCTAACCAGACCCATGCCCAGCACTTTCCAGAGTCCTCAGCAATACCAGTTAGAAGCACAGCCTGCGTTGAGCTTGTCCCTCCGAGGCCTGGCCCTTATCTTCAGCAGCCACCAAATGGCCATGACTCAAAACCTCAGGCTCCACCATGGTTCCCTAGGCCACAATAATTTTGGGGGCTCTCTTACGGAACTCTTTCTGCACCCCTTAGTCCCATGGTTTGGTTAACAGCCTATTCTCAGCAGAAATTCTCAGCTCTAGCCCCAGGCATCTGTGCCAGCGTAGCCTGTATTTAAAAATAAGCAAAACCCAAACTGTTCCCAGATGCAGGCACTCAGAGGTGACAAGACAGCTTCCAAATTGCCTTCTACAGCATGGCAGCAGTGCTTAAGCATCTGTGAGACAGCAGCTAGCGAGTCCTCAGGAAGCTGGTACTTCTCCCTCCTTCTCCAATATCTCAGTTGGAATAAGGAGGCATGGGGATGCCACAGCTCCTACAGCCCAGGACACTCCATGGCTGGAGTCAGGAGCTGTTTCCCTCAGTCAGGTCTATCAGTGCCATTTTCCACTTCTTCTGAAGACTTTTACTAGCTGGAGGTAAGCAACAGGAGACAGGATGAACAAGTGGGTTTTGGTAGGATGCTCAGCCCTACGTACTTTGCCAGAGTATCTCTGGGAGGGAGTTTGAGAAGTTGTTGCCACTTAAAGAACACAGATTTCAGACCTAACACAGGGTACTGCAAGCTGCAGATAAAGATAAGTCTTGTACAGGTAGTGTAACCCAAGGCTGTTGTACCACTCGCTTGTTAGCAAGAGCACACTAAAACTCATTGACAGGACTTTTAAGGCTTCTTCCAACTCTCACTCAGCAACCAACTTTGCTGAATTTGCTACCCAGAGAAATATGATCTTTCTCAGCTTTACGCAGTCCAGCTGCGGGTAAAGGACACTGCATTCATGCTGAGAACTGACCGATGCTCTGCTTTGTGCAACAAACTGGGTACGATGCAGGCTCACACCTTTGGTGTGCACCGCTTTTATAGCACGAGCCCTGTGGCACGGACAGCAGCCTCACCGTGCGTCTAGGGAGTCCTGAACAGGGGATAACCCCCCCCGAGGTTTCTTTGCAACAGCATCAGAGACCAATGCCACGTAGCTGGAGGAGCACTGCTCCCTACGGTTGGCAAAAATGAAAACAGAGTGTGCCAGGACTGGTTTTCACTGCAGGACGCACTGGCTAGCCTAGATAGCTAAGCAGTGGCTACTTCAGAGTAGCAGAGGAATGAGAACACAGCTATTTCAGTTCTTGGCCCTCCAATATCCCAAATTAGGCTAACAGCAAGTCTTATTTTGCCCTGCTAACCTATGAAAGCCATTTGGGGTTAGGCATTCCTACCCAGCCACGTAGCTACTCAAGTACTTTTAGGAGATAGAGCTGCTGTTTCTTTGCGTGTGGTCACTGGAAAGAGCGCAAGTTAAACAACTGGAGCCTGCATGCCTGCTTGTTTAGGCAACACAGCTACTCCCCATGTTCTCCTGCTGAAGAAATGCCACACTAGATGGTACGCAGCCTCAAGGGCATGGCCAGGGCAAAGGTCTGAAGCAGAAGTCAGCCTAGCCAGGGCAGAAGTAGGCAAAACTGACTCCCGTACAAGTACATGAATGCAAGAGGCAAAGACCCTCAACTGCCAGCTGCGTTCTCCAGAACCACCTCACCAGAGTAACGGGGCATTTTCATTCCATGCACAGATGGAAGCCTTAAGGTCTCTGAGAGCTAATACCTTGGAAATACTCTGTTCTATCTTACTCCCAAAATGGGGAGGTTCCTGCTTACTCATGAGGACAATTTTCTTCCCACACATCATCCCTACAGTGGGCTCAACTCAGCTGCGTGCACAGCTTCGGTTCTCCTGCTGTGTTGTTGCCCCACCTTGCAACCCAGATCTCCTGAGGCATGTTTTCCCTCCTCTGCAGGGCTCTATCTGGCAAGTCATTTTTCCATGACAACTTCACTTGCTCCATTTATTACACAGGGCATTTGAAAAAGCACTTTCAGTTCCAAAACCAACTATTTCTATCAAAGACAATATGATAATTTAGAGTGTTTTGTTCTTTCTAGCAACCCCAGAAAAATGATTAATCACTGACTCAGGCATACTTCATTACATTTTTGCCCACAGAGGATAAACTAGCAAGTCTCCTGTGACGACCTCTCTTACTACTGCAAAAATACCCCTGTATTTTCTCCAGAACCACTTCCTACACCTTCTGTCTTTAAAGAATGTATCCGTCTGACTAGCTGTTCATAAGACACTTGGGTTTAGCCTTATGGGCCTCCTGGTCAAGGCCTGTATCCCCAAGACAGTATACCCCAATGCAGGATCCTGCTGTCCGAGGTTTATGGAGATGTCAGGTTTTTGCTGTTGGGTTTTTGGTATATAAAGAGTTTTTCTTGATCTAGACCTAATTTTACCAGCCTCAGAACAAGTCTGGGCATGTGCAGATCTCTATAATTATCTACAAAAATCGTCTACAAGAAATTGCCCAATGGTCCAACTGAAAGTGCTAGAAATTAAGTGTGATAGCCCTTCACTAAGGAAGTACGTGTCATGTGTCCCATGACAATGATTAAAAAGATCACATTGTGTAAGACCTCTCAAACTTTCTCTTTCCTCCCAAATTTGAGGTGACGATTCCCAGAAGAGCTGGTAAATAGACATATCGAGCAGATCAGAGCTAACTACATCTGCACTGCCATGACAGCTCAAGGCCTGGCTCACACAAACCAAACTCCCCAGCAGTCTGCACTACCAGTGTGCTGCTATGGACATTTGTTGAAGGGTACAGAGAGCTAGCTGGATCTCCAGAGGAAAAACTGGCATAGGACAGGCATAAACCTGAACTCAAGCCCAGCCACCACAGGCAGCACAGCCACAGCTGTGCATTACCCATCGCTTTGTCCTCCTGGAGCACAATTTAGGCTTAGTTGGACTGGGCGGGGGGGAAAGGGACATCTGCTCCACACACAGCTGAGAGGTATTTTGAAAGGCTCCACTCACCCAGGGGAGTATCCACCAGGATTGCATTGTAGAGCTCCGCAGGCGTCTGAGCAATGTTCACAGCTTCCATCTGCTCGAAACTTCCCAGAGGATGGCACTTGGGCACCAGTTCGGAGATCGAACGCTGGTGCAGAGTCCCAGTGATCAGCAGAATGACGTTGTCAATCATGTAGCTGTACCTGGAGGAAGGCAAGAGGAAGCCTGTCACAACACAAATACAAATAATACAAAAACCAACACCTGGCACCAGTCCCTCTGAACACCTCCAGAAAGATGCACCCCTCCCATGAAGGACTAAGGCATCTGCTTTATGTCTGTCTCCTTATCATGTTGGCCTAGGAAAAGGGAGTCAACCATAGGCCCAGGCTGTGATTTATGCTACAGCTGAACCACACCATCTCTGCGTCTCCTACCTACCGCTGAAGAGTATTAGACTGGAAGGGACTTCTAGAGGTCTCTGGCCCAATGTCTTGCTGCAAGCGTGGCCAGCTCCAGCTGCTCAGGGCTTTGTCCAGCTGAACTCTGATTTACTTGCAAGGATGTATATCTCACAACCTCCCTGGGGCTCTGCTTCAGTGTCTGACCATACCCACAACGAAAAGTCCTTTCCTAGCAGCTGATCAGAATTTCCCTCATGGACATTTGTCCGCTGTCTCTCATCCTAACTACACGCTTCTTTGCATTAGCCCATGTTATGATGTCCCTACTCCACTTATGTTATACAGGATTAGCAGATTCAGCCTTTGGCACTCTGCACAAGTTCCACCAACACAAGCCCTTTGTGGTCCTTCTCTACAGTATGTCCATGCTTCTCTTGCACTGAGGAGTCCAGAACTGGGCACAGCACTCCAGGTGAGGCCTCCACCAGTGCTGAGGAGAAGGGAAAGATCACCTCCCAGTTCTCCCAGTCCAGCCAGAGAAGGGAGACACAGCCAACCTGAAGACTAGGAATATGAGAAAGGATGGTGGCCTTCTCCAAGTAGAAGGTCCAAGCAAGGAATCAAGGCATCATGTAAATACAAGGAGCTGAGAGGAAAAGTGTTCCCAAAAAGGAGTGGTGCTCTAGGCACCTTCACCACCAGCTGAGCCGTAAGCCAACCAGGATGAGAACCTGAAAAACATCAAGTGAAACAAGTGGCTTTTTCAGTCAACAGAAGGTGCCTTTGCAAATGTCCCTCAGCCGCACAGAGAAGGGGCACAGACACTGGAAAAGCAGGATATTTGGGATTTTACACTCCCTTGCTCTCACTGCTAGATCTCTAGTTCTAAAAAGTTAGATGATGGAAAAGGCCTGAAGAAACTCCTTGGCAGGAGCTGCTCCAAAACAAATGAGGTCAGGCCTGAACTAGGATGGCAGAAAGAGCTGTGCATGCCTGGAGTTGGAGATCTGTTGACATTCAGGCTTCCCACGTGTGCTTGAGCACTGAATAAAGGCAACTTAAGGCCAGCACACCAGGACTGGGACGGCAAGGCTCTGCACTCATTTGTCAGACAGGCATTGGGATGCTGCTGGTCTTTATACTTCTGAGCTAACAAGAAGAACATAGTGCAGCCTTGTTTCCCTTTGAAAAGGAGGAACAAAGGCAGGTAAGCAGAGCCAGTTAAAGTCAGATTTCAGTTGTTTTTATGAGATGGGCTTACTGCCTTTCAAATATGCTCAAAGGGTATGTCCATGAACAAATCCACACCTTAGTTCCTCAAACAGGTGCTGCTTTTTTTCTCCACGCTGCAGGGCTGGGTAATGCACCTCCTGGCCCTACTGTTTTTGCAGAGAGCCTTTCTGTGTTTGCAGTCTATCCTTCCAGGGGCGTTCAATCTAGAACCAGGGCAATCAGCACAAGCCTCATGTACTAGGAAACCTCCTTTTGCCCTTTAATCCACAACGTCATTATCCTCCCTTCTGTTTGTGCAACTCTCACCATGGAGATGATTGCAATCTCCAGGACAGCAAGAAGGGCCTGTTTATGAGAACTGAGGGTGAGCCCCTTGCCGTAAGCAGCTGGCTCCTGGTAAATACAAGCATCTGCACCCTAAAACAAACGCATCTCTGTGAGGTACGCCAGACCAAGGATACAGAAGATCATTTCCCAGCTCCACCATCTGCCCTCAAACAGGCAAGTTTGCTCAGTGCAACACAGTAGTTTTCAGGAAAGACCACGGGCAGGACTGCTCTCACCAAAGCAAGGCAACAACACAGGACCAGACCAAATCTGTTTCTTCAACTCAGCCTGCAGTGAATGAACAGGCAAGGAAATATGGTCCTTGCACAGTATGCTAGCACACCTCTTTCCTATTCCCGTCTTACCGTGGATCTTGCTCTCTACAAGGTATCTGCGACTTGCAAGGACTTGTGACTGGCCAAAGTCAACCATGCAAGAGGAACTGAGGGAAAATGCCCAGAGCCCTTTCTGTTCACAGGTCTTCAGAGCAGCTTGACTTATCTCATCCATGCCCTCCCAGTCCAGCTCAGCATGAAAAGCCACAGTCAGATTTGGGAAGAGTAGCCCAAGCCTGAGCCTCTTCACGCCTGAGAAGCTCCCGCTTTCAGACTGGTGGTCTCAGGAAAGACAACCCAGCTGGTTTCCACTGCCAGAGTACAAAACATGGTGCTCCCCATTTCATTTATAAGCCTTAGCTTACTTGTTTCCTCATCTTTCAGGGAAGTCTGGAGAAATGCACAGTCTATAGACCAAATGTCAAGGCCTCTAAGGAGGCCCAGCACCAATTTTTTGAAAGAGCACTTTACCTATCAAGACTACTTAACTCTGGCTGTCGCAGAAGGATTCATCCCTGCAGGAGGAGGAGTTACTGTGCGTGAGATAGAGGTGAAATTTTTCATTCAAATTTCCACTGCGACAGCATTTCAAACCTCTACGATAACAAGAAAGCTGCAGCAGGACAAAGGTCTTGTGCCTGCCAAGGCCAGGCAGACACCAGCACCACTGCCTAATCCTTCCCGATAGTTCCCGTTTCCTTCAAGCAAGCCCAGACCACACTTCTCTACGTTCAGTCCCTGCTTCATCCCAGTAAAAACAGTCATGGCTTAGTCAATCACGACTACGAGGCAAGCCTTCTAGTATCAGGGCAGCTGAAAAGCCTTTTCATCTGCGGAAGGGGCAACACTTGCTTTCCTGTGCCAGGTCCCAACAAGAATGCACCTGCCTCCATTAGCACAGCTGTACTAAAACCATGGCAGAGATCTTGGCCACACTGGCATTTCCTCCCAGGCCCGAAGGATTACATTTATTATAGTGGCAGCAGTTTTCCTAGGAACCTCCAACTACTGTTTAATAGAGCAGCTTCTACCATCATCCTCTTCATCTCCTGTTAGGTTCTGACCAGCTTCGAATGTTTCAGCTTTTATGCCCAGACCCCTCCAAGAGCATTTTAACCTTCACTAGCTCTCAGTGCCTCTAATAAGACCACCAGACTATAGCTGGGATAGAGTTAATTTTTTTCATAGTAACTAGTATGGGGCTATGCTTTGGATTTGTGCTGAAAACAGTGTTGATAAGGCAGAGCTGTTTTTGCTACTGCTGAGCAGTGCTTACACAGAGTCAAGGCCTTTTCTGCAGCCCACTTGGCATAGAAAAGAGATTAGGACATAGGATGCTCTGGTGGGAGACTAGAGACAGGCAGAAAGGACTGACAAGCTCCTTGGTGAGGACGAGCCTCTGCACCAGCTCACTGGGAACAACACTCAGTAGTTGTTCAGAGGATAAAGCATTACAGGGAAGATCTATGTAAGCTACAGCTGGTGACAGAGTGTACATTAAGTGGTAAAATGGCACCTTATCTCAAGCCACCAACCTCCACAAAGGCCACAGCAAAACTCTCTTGGGCAAGAATGCGTTTTACACTCCTGCTTTGAGGTGCTATCTGCCCCCACAGGGAGATGGGCACAAAAAGAATGGATGTTTAGGCAGAGTTTCACAGAAGTACAATTTTAGTTGATATTGAGAAGCATCAGTAACGCCTCACAGAAGCGTAAAATTTCTCATTAAAGGGCAGGAAAAAGTCAGCAAGTATAGAAATATCATCCACAGCAGGAGAGATGATACAGCTTCCTGAAGTCCAAGACAACTGGGGCCAGTATCTTTGCTCCTCCAGCGACACCCAGTTCAGCACAATAAGCACTGGGTGACACTCACATAAAGAGAACAAAGCCAGGCTAGGATATGCCTAGAGAAGTCAAAAGGGGTGTGTGTGGAGGGGGCAAGTGTTCCTTCCAGCCGCAACAGGTCAGAGACATGGTTCTCACTGCTGGGTTTGGGAGGTATGGTCTCAGACAGGCACAGCAGAGACCTCCCCAAGAAAACAGAGGAGAACCAGGCTCCAGAAGCTAACTTCTGGGATAGTCATCTGTGGATAGCCACCAAGCAGAAAAAAAAGGAGAGTGAGTACACATGCAAAAGCCAAGTACAGGTACTCTGACAATGTCTGCCTTCCTCCTTTTGGTATTAGTTAAGCACAGCCACAGATGAATGACATATGCAAGAAAGACTACAATGGCCTAAATGGACTAAAATATTGGGAAAGGCTTTTTATCAGGGGAGCACATAAAAAGCATGAAAGCTCATCACATGGGGCGTTTACAGCTTGGCCTGAAGGCACTCAGGCACAGCCCCCAAGACACTCAGGGCCTTTCCCTCCTCCACATACTAATCTAATCTCATCTAATCATAAAGAGTCATTGTCCTACGGCAGATAGGTGGGTTTTTTATTGCTTTCTGCTCCAGGATACTAAAGAAACCATAAACAATACTGCAAGTGGTCACAAAGCATGAATAATGACAGAACATTGCATGACCCGAGTTTCTCAGGAATCCTCCAAAAGCCTTGCCAAACTGTAGCTTAACAGCTGCTCTGCAAGGGGTCATGAGGACAGCCCTCCCTGTCAACAGCAACTGCAGAGAGCAGCGGTGATGCAGAAGTGCAGAGCAGGGAGGAACCGGGCTGCGGCGGGGGGGGTGGGTTTTGCTGGGATGGGTCAAGGTATTGCATTGCTCAGGCAACTGTAATGCTTTCCAAAACCAGCTTTAGACTTTAATGTAGACTAATGCTAGCAAGGCAAAGGTCCCTATGTGACTGCATTGGGCAGTTACTCAGATGATTGTAGCAGCATGTTTTTATTTTCGGATGAAAAAGGGAAATCTCTAGTGGGATGAGAGCGGTGCTC